GGGCGGGGGCGGGTATCGGTGCGGGGGCGGGGTGGGTATTAACATCCCCGTCCCCGCCCCCGCCCCCGATTTTATCAATCGGGGAAAACCCGAACCCGAACCCGAACCCGATAAACACGGGTTTTCCCCGTCCAAATCGGGGCGGGTTCGGGCGGTACCCACGGGGACGGGTTAGATTGCCATGCCAAACTCCTCTCTAATCACTCTTGATATGCCTTTTTTTTTTTTACTTTTTATTTCTTGACTTATTTCCTTGTAATCAAGACACTTACGAACTCATCTTTATTTTTTTTTAACTTTTTTTTTGTGTTTATAATTTTAACATTTTTGAAACTCTAATTTTTCACTCTATCTTTAATATTGTATGCATTGAATAGAAGGTTGTATATTTTATGAAAATGATTATCTCCAAAGATATGACCTGTGTGATTTTACGATAAATTATTGATTAGAAATAATATATTTGTTATTACCGTTCTGAAATTGTGCTTTCTGATTTTTAAAATATATTTCCAAAAAGAACTTTCCAAAAGAATATCAATATTTTTCTTCCAGAAAGTTCTTTCCAAAAATATATTTTTGTCTTCTAGAAATTACTTTTCGAAAATTTATTTTTTGTCTTTTTGAAAAATACTTTTAAAAAATACATTTATTTTTTGGAAAATGTTTTTCTATTAAAGGATATTTAGGAAATAAATAAAGAAACAAAAGGGTAAGGGTAGTCTATTATTAATTAATGGATGTATATTATTTAATAAAAGCTTTTAGATTATTTTAGTACCCAACCAAAATAAACTTAATTGGTTTAGGTCGGATTTGTGAATTTTTTTTTCAAGTAATCCAACCCAACCCAACTATGGAGTTGGGTCTTTAGAGTATTTTAGTACCTAACTAAATTAAACATAATCAGATTGGGTTTATGAACTTTTTTAAGCCATCTAACTCATCCTCGTATCGAGTTGAGTCAAATTAGGTCATGGAGTTAAATAATTAAAAAATAAATATATTTTGAAAATTGAAACAAATAAAATATAAAAAATAAAGATATGTAATTTAAAATTTAATACATAATTCAAAGTACAAACAACATTACAACAAGTAAAAATTAATTATATTACTAACATAATAAATTTTGAACCACATGACAAATATAATTAAATTATTCTTTTTGTTCTATACATTTTTCGATTT